TCTGCTTCTGGATACTCTGCTATATGCTCTGCTCTCCATGTCTTTAAAATGTCCTTCAGCATTTCATTGATTGCTCTACAGTACAACCACCCTGGAATTTTCCAAACTTGTCTTTTCTCCTGACTCATTGAAACAGGTCTTAGAGGTTTATTGAGAGTAGAATGACACCCTTACATGTCTATCAGGCTTGGTTTTCCCCGTGTGCTTTCTAACTTCATTTCTGGTCCATGAATATTTATAAAGCACCTGTGGTATGCCTAGTCCTGTGCCAAGTACTAGGAATATGAAGATGAACTTGAGAGACCATGAATCAACAGACTATGAGAGAGACCACTCAGAAAAGAGACAAATTAAATTCAATGCAATATTAATTTCCTAGAACTGCTGAACAAATTACCATTCATTGGGTAACTTAAAGCAATAGAAATTAATCTCTCACAGTTCTGGAGGCTGAAGATCCAAAATTAAGGTGTCAGTAGGGTAATGCTCCCTCTACTGGTTGCCTGCAATCCTTCACATTCCTTGGCTTGTAGACACATCACTCCAATCTCTGCCTCCGTCATCATATAAGGTACCCTCTATTTGTCACGCTATGTCTTTAGGACACCAGTCATTGGATTTAGGATCCAGCAGGATCTCATAATAAGTTGGCTACGTCTGCCTATATTACAGTCCTGGCCCAGTCTAGCTGTAGAGAGAGTGGCTGATAACTTTCCAAGTAGATAATTATTTTATAGATAATTTGGTATTGAACATATTAGTGTATTTGTGCTTATGTATATACAGAGAAGCAAAGGGAAGCAAAGATGAAAAAAACTGTACCTCCCATTTTCTTCTAAATAGTTTTCTTTTTTTCTATCACAGTTACAACTTCCTAAGGGAACTCTGAATGAGAGTTTTGGAACCTGGAAAAATTAAGTAAATCAGGCTGAGATACTTGCAATAGAACAGAAGTTGCTGTAGCATGCTGTTTTGGGCTGAGCTACTCACTCTAAGTTTGTCCTTTCCAGAGGAAAAGGTAGCAGAATGCTACTCTTAGTTGTTAACAGTGTGGCATAACCTGCTGGGGCTATTTCCCCATTTTTCATAAATAGTCCATTCTCCAGCCCCAGGGCTGTCAGAAGTTCCCACAAAGAAGCCAGGAAGCCAGGGAACACCTGTGACATTCTCATCACTGTGCTAGCCTCAGGAAAACCCTTTGAGGCACCAACGTGCAGGGTTACTGCTGGCAGCTATGGCTCCTGGGGCACCTTCTCTCCTCAACCCTCAACTTACAATTGTCCACCCTTCTTCCCCCCGAATAATGAAGAACGGTGGCCCATTGTAAATGGCCCCTGACTATACCACTTTCCTAGTGACCTTTTGAGGCTAGGCCCAAGGGGCTGAAACTGAAAAATGCTGTTGTAACTTCCACAAAACCCTGAGGGCCTAGTGCTTTCTAAAGGCAAGCCCTACACAGTGCTCACCTGTATGGTCAGATGTGGCTCCATCTTAGAGCACTGGTCCCCAACATTTTTGGCTCCAGGGATCAGTTTCATGGAAGACAATTTTCCCATGTACCAGGGTCGTGGGGGTGAAAAGGCAGGGTGCGGATACCAGGAGCTAATGCAAGTGGCATCTGAGGACAAGGCAGAGGGAGGTTCAGTTGTTGATAGTTGTGAGTTTGTTGTCATTTTACTGTTCATAGTTTTAATCTTTTTCTTAGATAAGTTCCTTTAACATTTCATATAATAAAGGCTTGGTGATGATGAGCTCCTCTAACTTGATCTTATCTGGGCAGCACTTTATCTGCCCTTCCATTCTAACTGATAGCTTTGCTGGATAGAGTAATCTTGGATGTAGGTCCTCGCCTTTCATGTCTTTTATTACTTCTTGCCTACAAGGTACCTTTTGAGAAATCAGCTGATAGTCTTATGGGAACTCCTTTGTAGGTAACTTTCTCCTTTTCTCTTGCTGCTTTTAAGATTCTCTCCTTATCTTTCATCTTGTGTAATGTAATTATGTTGTGCCTTGGTGTGTGCTTCCTTGGGTCCAACTTCTTTGGCAATTTCTGAGCTTCCTGGATCTCCTGGAAGTCTATTTCCTTGGCCAAAGCAGGGAAGTTCTCCTTCATTATTTTTTCAAATAAGTTTTCAATTTCTTGCTCTTCCTTTTCTCCTTCTGGCACCCCTATAATTCAAATGTTGGATCGTTTAAAGTTGTCCCAGAGGTTCTTAAGTCCCTCCTCATTTTTTGAATTCTTGTTTCTTCATTCTGTTCTGGTTGAATGTTTATCTCCTCCTTCTGCTCCCAATCATTGATTTGAGCCCTGGTTTCCTTCCTTTCACTGTTGGTTCCCTGTTTATTTTCCTTTATTTCATTTTGCATAGTCTTGCCTTTTTCCTCCATTTTGAGACTATATTCAACTGACTCAGAGCTTCCAGATGACCAGTGTTTTGAACTGTGCATGTGATATATTGGCTATCTCTTCATTGCTTAGTTCTATTTTTGGAGCTTTGATCTGTTCATTCAGTTGGGTCATATCTCTTTGTCTCAGTGCACCTGTTACAATGGAAGGGTCGGAGCCTTGGGTATTCACCAGGGAGGGGCAACCCAGGTCACCACATTGTGACACTGTATGTGGGGGAGGGGTCCGAAAGGGAACAATGCAGCTTGCTTGGCTCTTGGCTGGCTTTCAGTCACTGCCCCTGCTACCCACAAGCACATTGGGCCCTTCTGGTGCTGATTCCTGGGTGGGTGTGCTTGTGTATGTTCTAGGGCACTGTGGTTTCTCCAACAAACTCTTCTGTGAGGCTGGGAGTTTCTCCCACTGACGCTACCCCTACATATTTTTACAGCCAGAGGTTTTTAGGCTTTCTTTTCTCATACTGGAAACTTGGATTGCTTGGTCTGTCTCACTCTCCAGCTGTTCCTCCCAGTTTACCCACCCACAAATGTGGGACCGCCCAGTATGCCAGCTGCCTCCTTTCCTGCCTGGTCCTCCAGCTGCCGCTTTGCTGCACATCCTTTCCACCCTAGCTGCCCATCTCTGCCCCTTCCTACCAATCTGGATGAATGCTTCTTCTTTAACTCCTTGGTTGTCAGACTTCCATACAGTTCAATTTTCTGGCAGTTCCGGTTGTTTTTTGTTTTTAAATTTGTTGTTGTCCTTCTTTTGGTTGTGGAAGGAGGCAAAGTGTATCTATCTATGCCTCCATCTTGACTGGAAGTCCAGTTTCCTCATCTTTAAAATAAGGGATAATACGTACCTCATAGGCTTGTTGGAAGCTTAAATATAATGTCCATAGAAATGTGCTGTATTCTCAGAATTTGAGCAAAGCTTAATAATATACATCAGTTTGAAAACAATTATTTAAATTGCAGAGGGTCTGGACATTAAAACCTTTATACCAAAAGAACTTTCAGATAACCTCACTGTCTGAAAACAGCAGAGGAATAAAGTATGCTTCACATTTGACAAAACTTTCAGTGTGTTATTACTTTTATTCTCTAGTGGCATCTAGGGAAGTTTGCAGCCTCTACTAGTATATTTTGCCTAACTTTTAATTCTTTCTCAACTCTTTCTTGTCCCTTTCTTGAACTTTGTCATTGTCTTTAGCCTGGAAACTCCACATAAGTGGCCCAGTTCACCTTGTGCTGGGGTGGCCATGAGTACAGCATCAGTGTGGTGTTGCCAGGGCCACTGGTGCTAGTCCATGTGTTCCTGAGGGCTACCTTGGAACAGCTGGGCTTGTGCTAAACCCCTTATTAAAGAGTGGTCCTGACCGCAGCATTGGCAGTGGTGGTAGTAGAGGCCCCTGAAAGGGCAATCTAGTCTACAAGCAGGAAAGCAGCAGGGCAGAAGTAAATGCAATGAGATAGTTCAGAGAGAAGCCACATGAGGGCATGTTCTCCTGGATGGTGTGGTTTATTCATTGCCAGGGAGCCTGAAAATTTGTTTGGTTTAGGGTCTTTGTCTTCTCCATCTCCTGCTCGGTCTCTGTTATACCTCTCTTTACTTGGTGGGTGTGTGAAAGGTGTGAAAGGTGTGATTGTGTGTAGTCTCAGAAACTTCTCATCCTTGTGGAAGGACCCATGTCACTCACACTCTTTCCTCCCCTATAGGAAATGTGCTTTGCCAATTTCAAGAAATATCCCTTCCATTTTCTATGCCTGGGCTGCACCATCTGCTTCACCTCTTCCTTTGAACGTAGCATAGATAAAGACACTCCATCCTTGAAGACAGGGAATAGGTGGGCATTAAAATCATGGGCTAAAATGAGGTCTCACTAAAATATGTAGCTATCATTTACCACAATATTCACTTTTATTACCAAATAATTATGCATATGTATACATGCATTTCATAAGAACCATATTGTAAACTGGGTAGGTTTTCTTTTTTAATGTTTAATGTTAAAAATTGGGAAATGAATTTTCTATCATAATTGTAATCATTCCTTTGCCAGTGTTAGGTACAACACATCACACCAAGCCCTCAATAAGGGGCCAGCTGAACAGCTGCTAACCTGGCGCACCTACAGAACCTTGCCTAGAAGAAGAGTCTAGTGAATTAATTCTGCCTGGGAGATGGTGAACTTAAGGAGGCCTGTGCTGAGCTAGGGAGAGATCTCCACTTGGGCGTATCATGGTACCTGATGCCCTGATGTCACTGAGAATGCACAAAGAGTAAATATTTGTTTAAACAATTCAGAAACTGATTAACAGCTTCTTGCATCAGGAAAGAAACCTACCAGAGGAATGAAGAAATATTCTTTTTAAACTCTTGCATTAACTTTCAAGCCATTACTCAATTGCTCAATAACCAACAAGAGATACAATAAGAATACCAACTTTTGGGAGAAGAGAAATGAAAGCTGGAAAGGAAGACCACTCAAAGTACCTCAGGTGTTTAGAGAGCACTTTCAGCAGCTCCTCCCAGGCTTAATGCTGACCCAATGGACATACTACCAGGGAGGCCCAGCTACATCTGGCCTTCAGGGGTCTCCCACACAACTCCTTTAAACAAAATACTGCAAATATGACCTACCTTTGAGGTGTTGAGACACATTCCACCTGGGAATTTATTCTGGATTGCCTTAATTTTGCCTGTTAGAATCCCAACAGCCTGCAGAAGGTGTTCTTTGCTGTCCCAGGTACCAATGGGATGACAAATATTTTTATCAAGCTAGAAAATTCAAACAATAATGTTAGCATCTGAATGAAGCAACACATTTTTCTGCTTTTCCTGACTTCTCTTTTTTGTGTTCAAGTTCATAGACACTGGCCTTGGCCCCTTCCTTCATCCCCACAGAATCAATTCTAAGGTCCTTTTTTTTCCCCACAGAAAAGAGAGAGAAACAAAGTCAGATTTGGGAGAAGTGGATGTGGCATAGTTTTAGTTAAGCACTCTAAGAGACACACACAACACACATAAATAAATAAAAAACGTGTTTCAAAAACAGTTAGCTCCCAAAGTCTACATATTTGCAGTCAAAATACAAATTTGTTTGTAACTGGGAAGGCTAAAAGTCTAGGTTTCTACAGAAAATGTAAAATTGAGGCTGGAAATGAATATCCAGATAATTTAGGACTCCTTCTTCCAATTTGTCTTAAGAACAAATTGGTTTAAGTAGGGTTTAATAATAATGTTTTTATCCACATGGATGAAATTGACTATTTCATGAACCCCAAAAGGATACCTGTAGTAACAATGTTCTTTATAAAATTTTCTCATTTTAAGTATGTTGCATACTATTTATTGCAAATTGAAGTTATGAAACTCATAGAATATACTTTCTTAAAGACATCCAGTAACTGATAAATCTAAAAAAAATACCAAAGATGTATTACAGAAATCACAGGACAAATATTGCAAAAGTGTGAGGGTGTTTTGAAGTCTATAAGAACAGCAAGTGGCTTCCAGTTTGAGCTGAGCTTCTGCAAGGAAAAATGAAGCAGGACTAATTGCAAGTTCCTAGTTAAGTACCTGTATTAGGCCAAATTTAATTCCCCTGTCGTCCCAACCATCTTGTAGGTTGGCTCCACCATGGTTTTCTCTGGAGATAGCTGCAATAAGAGCTGGGTCCACACAATGCCTCAGCCCAACTTCTTTTTAATCAGAGTCTGGTAAGGCTTTTAAGGCCCTCAAATCCATTTCAGCAAACATTTCAGAACCACAAATCCCTAAGCTGATAGAAAATAAAATGTATCCTCTCCTCCAGAAGAGAACCCTTTATCAGCATTTTATGTTAGCCACAGCCCATGTCTGTGGATCAGAGCTTGGGACAATCATTCTAGGACATGTTCCAATGTCTGATTGTATAAACCCAGAAAGGTCCACAACCCCAGACAGATATCAGTTCTCCCCTTTTCCCCATTCTCCTATTTTCTGCCACATTGCTGCATTAACAAGATTCTTGGACTAGATGTGAGCCAACCTAAGTTTCAGTCTGGTTTTGCTACCACTTAGCTCAAGCCCCTTAGAAAATCTCTCCTCTTTTCTGAGCCTCAGTTTTCTGATCTGTAAATTGGGGAGGTAGGGTTTGTTGACCTGTTGGTTACAGTTCTGACACTCTAATACTGGGATAACAGGAAAAAAACTTTAGAACAGGATTAAAAACATGAGAACATACAAATGACAAGAGGTTTGCTTAAAATATTCATGCTCTAACATGAAGTAAACACAAGGGCAAACAAAACCACAATTCAATATTTCACTTAAGAAATCATCTCCATATGTAGAAATAAACACATTTGGACAAGTTTGGAAAGAATAGGGGAAAAATAAGAAGTAGTATGTTAGGTTAGTCAAGATTCTATTTTCTCCTCGTTTTTAATTTTGACATTATTGCTATAACGATGATTATACCTGTTCAAAATGAAGCTATTTTTCTAAGAAATAATATGAAAATGGTTAAAGTAGGGAAGCCAGATGTTTGCTTTTCACTTACCACAGTTAATCAACAGTTAAATCACAGTAAAATCAACAGTTAAATTAACAGTTAATCAACAGTTAAATCACAGGCAGCCCCGAAGTCTCCATGGTCGTGATGTCACCATGGCAGCCGTGGTATGGTAGAAGTGGTGATGCAGGTGATGATTCATTGAGTGAAGATAAGGGTGAGAGCTCATGGAAGTGCCTGGGGTGGGGAGATGATAATTCATAGTAAGCCTGTGGGAAAATATTGCTTGTGTTGCTCTAATGAACATTATTAAGCCAAAGGAAAGGCCATAGACTTAGTCCTCCCAAGTCCCTCCTCAAGACCCCCCAGAATGGCTCATCACATGAAAAAGAAGAATCCCCCTTCCCACTCCAATCTTAAAAAAATGTAATGTAACACTTAATTCTAAAAACTGTGCAAAGTATTTTGAAAATCTATTCTTACAGATCTCAAAAACATTTGTTTCAGTCTAGATCAGACTTAAAATTGCTATTACAGTTTTTTAAAAAAAGACTTTATTTATTTACTTTTGAAGAGGGGGAAGGGAGAGAGAAAGAGAGGGACAGAAACATCAATGTACAAGGCAACCATCTATCAGTTGCCTCTTGGGCACCCACTACTGGGAATTTGGCCCACAATCCAGGCATGTGCCCTGATGGGTAATTGAACCTGTGCCCTTCAGTTTGCAGTATAACGCCCAATCCACTGAGTCAGTCCAGTTAGGGCTAAAATTATTAGTATATTTTTAAGCTGGAACTTAGAGAAACTTTAAGATATTTCTGACACAAATACTTCTAGGGATGCAAACATCTGGATTAAAAATTGCCTTTGTTTAGGAAGAGAAGAAATAAGGGTATCATTAACTTAAAATATTTATTTTATATCATGTTGTTGTCAAGTTGAGTTTCTTTCTGGATCTACTTAATAAAATTGGATATAAAATTTAACTTAACATAAAAATTTAGGTTAAATTTATTCTTATTTATATTTTGTCATTATGAAGTGAATTTCTGCCCAAGTCACCTTATTTATTTTTAAGATTTATTTATTTTTAAAAATATTTATATTTTTAAATTACAGTTGATATACACTATTATATTGCTTTCAGGTATACAATATAGTGACAACAACTTTTATATAAGTTACCAAATGATCACCCCAATAAATCTAGTACCCTTCTGACACCATACATAGTTATTGCAATATTTTTTACTATATTCCCTATGCTGTACTTTACAATCTGTGACTGCCCAAGTCTATTTACTAAAGGAGATAAAGGACTTTTCTGTAAATTGAAAAGTTTGTTCTAATAGTCACTAGGATTATTGAGTTGTACGGAAGGCTACAAATAATTGTTGTAGGAAATTATGTTTCTTAAAAAAAACATTGTTTCACTTAGTGTTGTAATTTTTTGTTTTAAATATAGAGGTGGATTTTATCTACTCACCATAAGCCTCGTTCTGAAAAACTTGACAGTATAAAGAGACACTTAGAATTAGGCACACAAACAATGAAACTCATCTTTATTGATATTTATCTTAAAAGGAAAACAAAGTAATTCTAAAGAGTAACTTTTTTAAACTATTTAATTTTTTAAAAAGAAAAACTCATCAAAACAAAAATATGAGCACAATCTGCTCTTTCACATCTACAAACGGGTGCAAAAAAGAAGAAGAAGAGGAAGGAGAAGGAGAAGGAGGAGAAGAAGAAGAAGAAGAAGAAAGAAGAAGAAGAAGAAGAAGAAGAAGAAGAAGAAGAAGAAGAAGAAGAAGAAGAAGAAGAAGAAGAAGAAGAAGAAGAAGAAGAAGAAGAAGAAGAAGAAGAAGAAGAAGAAGAAGAAGAAGAAGAAGGAATTGTAAATTGACCAAAAGTCAGACAGTGAAATTATCAAGTAAACTCAGAATAGTAAGAAAACCTGTCTAGATAATAAAAGCAGCAGAACCAGCAAAGCCAATAAGCTTCTCTAAGCACCGTGGATTCTCCTGTGAGGCAAAGAGCAGGAACCATCACCTCGGCACTCCTCATGGCCCTCAGTGTAGAACCCTGTGCCTAAAATGTGTTTGGAAAATATATGTAAGTGGAAAATGGATAAATTCTTATGACACAGATGCGATGTAAAATTGAGATGTTGGGGTTAGGAGTGCAGACTGAAAACATAAACCCAGAATCGGACTCCTTGTTACTGCCATGGTCCAAAACACCATTATTGCTCATATGGATTACTGTAAAGCATCCTAACTGACCTCTCTGCTCCACTCTTAACAGTCTATTCTCCACCCAGCAGCCAGAGTGATCCTGTGCACATAGCATGGGTTCATATCAGTCTTCTCTCTTCACCTTCTGGTGGCTTTTCCATTATTCAGAGCAATGGCAATGTCTGTTTGTAGCCTCTGTGACCTACCTGATCTGGCCCTCTGCTCACTTCCCAATGTCTCCTTCCCTTTTTTCACTCTTTTCCAGTCACATTCTCCTTACTCATCCTCAACAAATGAAGTAGTTTCCTGCCCCAGGGAGATTGTATTTGGCATTCCTTTTCCCTAGAGTTCTATTCCTCTAGATAGCCACACAATTTGCTGCCTCACTGCCTTCAGGTCTCTATGCAAATACCACCTTGCCAGCAATAAATAAAAAGTGAATAGGCAGTTCATAGACAAAGGGGAAAAAAGATCCTACACATATATAAAGGTGCTCAACCACATTCAAAAGATGAGAATGCTATGTTAAAAAATCACTGGGACACTATTTTTCACCTATTTAATTGGCAAGAATCCAAAGGTTTGACCATGTCTCAAAGTCTGTGACCAAAATCTGTGGGTGAGGCTGTGAAGAATAAGGCAATCTCATTGCTGTGGAAGGGGTTTTGCAATAGGTTGTTCTTTCAGCACTGTTTGTAATAGCAAAGGATTGAAAACAATGTAAATGTCATTACTATAGGGACTGACTGAATAAGGTAAGCTACTGCCACTCAATGTTAACACACACACACAAAAAAAAAAAGAAAGAAAGAAAGAAAGAAAAGAAAAGAAAAAGGGGAGAGTGCACTACTTACAAGGAATAACTTTTTATAATTGTAAGTTCTGTGTTTGTGACCAAGGTCTGTATCTCATTCACCTGAGTATTTGGTGTGGAGCCAAGCATGTAGAGCATGTTGTAGGACAAGCTAAATCGGCAAAGCCAAGACTCTTGGCTCTGAGTTCAGGATGGCAGAGTAGGAGGATCCTGAGCTTGCCTTCTCTCACTGATACCAAAAATGCATACATATAGAACATCCATCTTTGAGAACCACCTGAAGACTAGCAGAACAGATTTTCTACAACTACAGATATAAAATAAAAGTCACACTGAAATGGGTAGGAAAGGTAGAGGCTCAGTCTAGTCGGGACTTACCCTACTCCCTACTCTTCATACAAGTGGGAGGGGTATCACAACCACAGAGGTCATCCCCAAAGAATGAAAGGTCCAAGCCCTAGCCTGGGGAACCTGAACCAGGAAGAGGAGCCACTGGAACATCTGGCTTTGAAAACCAGCCGGGCATACATGTGGGAGAGCCAAAGGGCTGTAGGAAACCCAGATTGCATTGTTTATGAGTCCTGCCACAGAGGCATCTGTTTGAAAAGCTCCTAGGACATATGTGAAGGTGACATATTGACTAGTTTTAGGGTATGTGCTAGAGGAACAGAGAAATCTGTTGGAATTTCCTCTTCAGTCAGAGGTGATGGTGGGTGCCATTTTCACCCTTTCTTTAACCTAGCTTGTCTTACACTGGCAGGTGCCATATCTGGCACACTCCATTAACCTTCCTAATGCTGTTTACCCCACCCATGGTAGCCCCTCCAAAGTACCTCCTGCCCTGCCTCACTTGGCACCAGCACGCAGCAGTGCATCTGCAACAATGAAGCTGGGCCTCGTAGCCATCCACACTGAAGGCTTGCCCTGCACACCAGTGAGCCTGTAACAGTTGTGACCAGTCCACACAGCCAGCAGGCTAGAGACCACCCTTGCCTGCCAGTGTATCCTTAGAAGTTGTGGCCCAGCCGCAACAGGAGGCCACACCAGTCAAATGTCTGGAGTGCGTGACTCTGGTGACAAGGGGTACACCTTCTAAATAAAGGCCCACATGACACATTCTAAATAATACTACTTTTTCAAGACCAGGAGATTTAGCTGACCTACCTAATACACAGAAACAAGCAGGTAAAATGAGTAGAAAAAAAGAATATGTTAAAACAATAGACAAAACTCCAGAAAAAGAACTAAATGAAACTGAGTTAATTTGTCTACTAGGTGAAGAGTTCAAAGTTATAGTCATACAGATGCTCATCAAACTCTCCAGACAAATGGATAAACTCAGTGAGAACTTCAACAAAGAGATTAAAATTATTTTAAAAAGACCTGTCAGAACTGAAGAATGTAACAATCGAAATAAAAATTACACTGGAGGGAATCAACAGCAGATCAGATGACACAGAAGAATGGATCAGCAATCAGGAGGACAGGATAGTGGAAATCACCCAAATAGATGATTAAAAAGAAAAAAAGAATTAGAAAGAATGAGGATAGCATAAGGGACCTTTGGGACAACATCAAGCATACTAAAATTTGAATCATAGGGTTCTCAGAAGGAGAAGGGAGAAAGAAAAGGATAAAAAACCCAATTGAATAAATAATCAGTGAAAATTCTCCTAACCTGGTGAAGGAAACAGACATCCAAGTCAGGAAGAACAGAGAGTCCCAAACAAGATGAACCAAAAGAGACCCACACCACCAATATGGGAGAAGAGTAAGTTGAAGCTACACTAAAACCTCCTCTCAGGACCAAACTGGAATTACAACTGAATTATAGAAAAATCATCCTGAATAATTAACTAAACACTAGCTGGAGAGAAGCCTTATAACTGCAAACAGTGAGAAGAAGCCATGTCACCACAATGAGTCCGGTAGGGAGTGCATAGGAGGTGTGAGAGAGCTGGCTGGGCACCCACGGCTGGCAGCTGAGGGTTGGAAGGATATTTCAGGGGCTAGGGGTTTCCTCCTGAGAAGTGAGGAGTCTAAACCCCAAGCTGGGCTCCCCAGACTATAGCACCAGAACTGGAAAGGAAAACAGATAACATATGGCTGTGAAGAGCAGCAGTGTTTCTGTCCACCAGGGAGAGATGGCTGGAGGTACAGAGAGCCTCAAAAAGGGCAAATGCACAAAATTCCACTTGCAGCCACTTACCCTAGGCTCTGGCAGAGAAAGGGCAGAGGGGACTAGAGATGCTTGAGGAGAACCTAGGGCTGGTGGCTCTGGGGAGAGAACTGAAGGAATGGCCTCCATCATCCCTATGCTGACTCATTCCCCATACTGCAGGGGCCATCTTCCTCAGTCACAGCACTCCCCTCCAGGTGGCATCAGCCTCAGGGGAAGAAATAGGCCTGCCCACAGGAATTATCTGCCCAATCTTGTGGTACTTAAGCCCTGCTGTTGAGGAGTACAGCTGGAAGACATTTGCTGATTAACCCTACAGAGCCTGCAGGCAGAGGCAGGTCCTCTGTACCTGGTGCTGATAAAAGCTGGGATTGTGCAGCCTGGACACAAACAGACCCAGCAGAGGGAACCACAAGCTGTGAATCACTGATAGCTCCAGATAGGTTGCTCAGGGCCTATTGCAGGCAGGGTTTGTCTTAGGCCAGCACCAGAGCCCAGCAGATCTACCTATTACACAGAAACAAACACAAAGAGGCAGCCAAAATGGGAAAACAAAGAAATAGACTCCAAATGTAAGAACAAGAGAATTCTCCAGAAGAAGAACTAGATGAAATGGAGGCAAGCAATTTACCAGAGAGTTTAGAGTAACGATTATAAGGACACTCAACAGCATGAAAAAGGACACAGAAACCATAAAAAAGGACCAGTCAGAAATAAAGAATGAAATACTTGAAATGAATAATACACTGGAAGAAATAGACAGTAGGTTAGATGAAGCAGGGGATCGAATCAGTGATTTGGAAGACAAGGTAGAACAAAACACCCAGAGAGGCAAAAAGAAAAAAAATGTTCTTTTTCTTTTTTTGCCTGGTGAATATTAGTTTTATTTTTTAAAATCATGTTTATTCTGTTACAGTTGTCTCAATTTTTCCCCCTTTGCCCTCCTCCACCCATCCCATCCCCAATTCGTTATTGGCATATAAAAATGCATTTGATTTCTGAATATTAATTTTGTATCCTGCTACATTGCTGAATTAAGTTTTCAGTTCTAACGGTTTCTTGGTGGAATCTTTGGGATTCTTTAGGTACAGTATCATGTCATCTGCAAATAAAAACTGTTCTACTTCTTCCTTTCCAATTGGATGCCTTTTATTTCTTATTCTTGTCTGATTGCTGTGGCTAGGACTTGCAATACTATGTTGAATAAGAGAGATGAAAGCAGACATCCCTGTTTTATTCCCGATAATAAGGGGAAAGCTTGTAGTTTTGCCTATTGAATACGATGCTGGCAGTGGGTTTGTCATATATGGCCCTTACTATGTTGAGTTATGTTCCCTCTGTTTCCACTCTGCTGAGATATTTTATCATAAATGGGTGCTGGATTTTATCAAAAGCTTTTTCTGCATCTATTGATATGATCATGTGATTTTTATCCTTCATTTTGTTTATGGAGTGAATCACGTTTATTTATTTGTGGATGTTGTACCACCTTGCATTCCCAGAATAAATCCCACTTGATTGTGGTGTATGGTCTTTTCAATGCATTGCTTCTTTGGTTTGCTGAAAATTTGTTGAGAATTTTAGCATCTATGTTCATCAGGGATATTGGCCTATAATTTTCTTGCTTTCTTTCCTTTTTTTTGTAGTGTCTTTACCTGGTTTTGGAATTAGGATAATGCTGGCCTTGAAAAATAAGCTTGGGAACCTTCCCTCCTCTTGAATTTTTGATATAGTTTGAGAAGGGAAGGTGTTTGTTCTTCTTGGAATGTTTGGTAAAATTCATTTGTGAAGGCATCCAGTCCAGGGATTTTTTTTTCCCTTGGGAGTTCTTTGTTATTACTGCTTCAATTTCTTAGGTGTAATCTGTCTAATCAGATTCTTTGTTTCTTCCTGATTTAGTTTTGGAAGATTGTATGTTTCTAGGACTTTATATATTTCATCCAGTTTGCTAGGTTTGTTGGCATATAATTGTTCATAATGTTTTCTTACAATCCTTTGTATTTCTTTGGTGTCAGTTTTGATTTCTGTTCTTTCATTTCTGATTATATTTTTTTGGTCCTCTTGTTTTTTGATGAGTCTGGTTAAAGGTTTTCTCAATTTTGTTTATCTGTTCAAAGAAATAACTCTTGAATTCATTGATCTTTTGCATCTTTTTTTAGACTCTATTTTATTGATTTCTGCTCTCATCTTTATTATTTCCTTCCATCTACTCACGTTAAGCTTTGTTTGTTGTTATTTTTCAAGTTCCATTAAGTGTAGTTAGATTGCTTATTTAAGCTTTTTCTTGTTTTTTGAGATAGGCTTGTATGCAATGACTTTTCCCTCTTAGGATTCCTTTCCCTGTGTCCCACATATTCTGTGTCTGTCCCGGATATATATGTATTCTCATTTGCATTTGTTTCAAGGTACCTTTTGATTTCTTCTTGAGCTCTTTGTTGACCTATTCATTGTTTAATAACAGGTTATTTACCTTCAAATCTCTTTGTATTTTTCAGTGTTCTTCTCGTGATTGACTTCTAGTTTCATGACATTGTGGTCAGAGAAGATACTTGATATGATTTCAATCTTCTTAAATTTGTTGAGACTTATTTTGTGTCCTAACATATGGTCTATCCTAGAAAACGTTCTATGTGCATTTGAAACATATATATATTCTGCTTCTTTGGGGTGAAGTGCTCTGAAGATATCAATCAAATCCATTTAATCCAGCGTGTCATTTAAGGCCATGTCTTCTTTTTGATTTTCTGTCTAGAGGATCTATCCATTGAAGTCAATGGGGTGTTAAAGTGCTCTACTATGACTGTATTTCTGTTGATCTCTCCCTTTATGTCCATCAATATTTGCTTCACATATTTAGCGCTCTTCTTTTGGGTGTGCAAATGTTTACTAGGGTTATATCCTCTTGTTGGATTGTTCCCTTTATCATTATGTAGTTCCCTTTTTGTCTCTTACTATAGTCTTGATTTTAAAGTCTATTTTGTCAGATATATGTATTGCTACCCCAGCACTTTTTTCCTTTCCATATGCATGAAATATCTTTTTTCATCCTTTTACTTTTAGTCTGTGCTTATCTTTGATTTGAGGTGGGTCTCTTGGAGGCAGCATATATATGGGTCTTGTTTTCTTATTCATTCAGCTACCCTATATATTTGGTTGGAGCATTTAAGCTATGTACATTTAAGGTGATTATTGATAGATATGTACTTAGTGCCATTTTATTGTTAGGCTAATTTATTCTGTCTTTTTTCCTTTCTCTTTCTCTTCTTCTTCTTCTTAAAGCAAGCCCTTTAACATATCTCTGGTACTGGTTTGGTGTTGACAAAAACTCCTTCAGCTTGTCTAGGAAGCTTCTTATTTCTCCTTCAATTTTATACAATAGCCTTACTGGGTAAAGAAGTTTTGGTTGTAGGTCCTTGCTCTTCATCCCCTTGAATATGTCACACCAATCCATTTTGGCCTGAAATGTTTCTGATGAGAAATCAGATGTCAGTCTAATTGGTGCTCCCTTTTAGGTAACTACCTGCTTTTCTCCCACAGCTCTCAGGATTCTCTCTCTGTTTTTCAGGCTTCTCATTTTAATTATGATGTATCTTGGGGAAGGCCTCTTTGGATCCAACTTGTTTGGGACTTCCTGAACTTCATGGACTTGGTTGTCTTTTTCCTTCATCAGATTGGGGAAGTTTTCAATCATTATTTCTTCAGATAGGTTTTTGATACCTTGCACACTCCCCTTATGGTATTCCCATGATTCAGATGTTGTTACTCTTCATGTTGTCCAAAATGTTTCTTAAGTTCTCCTCATTTAAAAAGAAATTTTTTTCTAGAAAATCAAGGTGGCGGAGGGGTGAATGGAAGTCACACTGACCTCCTCCCATGACCAGTCTGAAATTATAACTAAATTGTGGAGAAATCACCTGGACAAAAAACCTAACAATAATGAGAGAGGAGCCTTATAACCTTGGAGAGACAGAAGAATCAGTTTTAACACAACCTAACTGGTAAGGAGTGTGGTAGAGACTCAAGAAGTGGGCAGGGCACCCACAGGTGGCAGCACCAGAAGGATATTGAAACAGCCAGTTGGATCTTCATGAGAAGAGCAGGGCCTAAACCATAAGCAGGGATCTCCAATCTGCAGCACCACAGCCCAAAAAGCACACAGATAACAGCCAGCTGTGAAAAGTGGTAGGGTAGCTCTCTGCCAGAGACAGGTGGCTAGAGATGCAAAGATCAGTTTAAACAGAAAACGGATAATTTTTTATTTGCAGCCACTTGCCCTGGTCTCCAGCAAAGGCAGGGGTAGAGTGGGCGAGAGACGCCAGAGGAGAGAATGAGGAAGGAGGCTTTGGGGAGAGAACTGAGAGAGTAACCAGCAGAA